GGCATCTCTGCGCCCCTCACACGGCGTCCTCACTCCACGGCCGGCCGCCGCCAACTGACCCACTCGCCGGGCGCCGCGACCTGACCCGTGTCGCTGCCGCGGCCTGCGCAATAGAGTCGGGGCTGGAATCCGGGGGTTCGGCCGGCCGGCCGCCTCTGGAGCGGGGGACTTTTTTTGTAGACCTACTGTACGGAGTTATTGGCAAAAACCTTTGGTGACCTTTGATGACGTCACATGACCTTACTGCTGCCCAACAGCAAAACAGACCTCAAGCTAGTGAAGGTTGATCGTTATATGATGTCATGTACCTATTGTATATGGGGCCATTCCGACCCGTTTTAGTGGTAAAAAGAGGGAGTTGATTTTTCCCCCATTGAATGGGGAGGTCGAGAAATTGACCTGACCTTAGGTCATCGATATCAAAATTCTGAGATATAAAAATGTAGCTCCTAATGACCTAATAACATCCTGCGACTTTCAAAGGCCTCCGAAATCTACCGTAGCTCTGGCACGGTGACAAAGTTGCAAAAAAGTGACTTGAGGTTGGGTCATTCAAAGTGACCTGGTGATCTGACCTTAAAGGGACTATCCCACCTTCTAAAATGTTGTTAAAACCAGTTAAATTGTGCCTGACTTTATAGATTGGATGACCAGGAACACGGTTCTGGCATTTATTTTTCATTAAACATCTTAGGCTTCCCATATTCCAAACACAAACTTTCAAATATGTGACGTCACAGCCCAAAATTACCTCCTTCCCCAGGCCACATTACTGTCATAAAGCTGATTCTTTTTACTCTGTAGGCACCACAACAAAGTTCAGACCAAGTTTTAAGCGATTTTTCAACGAACAAACCCATTTCAATCAGAATGACTAAACGAGGTGACGTCACACTAACGGTCGCTCCATGTTGAAGATAGGGCCTTGTACAAGGCCCATTTTCAAATGAAGGGAACGAATTTCTTCAACACCAAGAGGCCGCGGGGGTTACAACCTAGATAGATAGTGGTTTCTGAACCTCGCCGCAAACTTGGCTATCTCAACTCAAACCCCATGTTAAAGGTGGGATAGTCCCTTTAACCCTATTCCTGGCGGGCTCCGCCGGGACAAGAAACTGGCGGGGGAGGGGGCCGATTCGGCCCCCCCTTCAGATCTCAAAAACTACACATCGCAGCGACAAACGGTGAACGGCGTTTGATAGGTCGTTTAAAGATCTACAACTTTTACATAAAACATTTTCAGGTCAGGTCAATATTGAGGTCACCAGAGGTCATCAACGATAAAATGTTTTGGAATTAGTTACCTATATAACTTTTAATCTAAGAAACATAGAGACATAAAACCGATACATTTTTTGTTGCTCTCGCCGAGGCGATGCGAAATAAGTATGTGATGACCTTCACAGGTCAATTTGAAATTTGACCTGAGGTCAAGGTCAGGTCATTCATCAATGAGGTTGTGGGGTATGGTCATGCTGCATACCAAACGACGCGCCTTGACCAGGCGAGCAGTTTGGTACCACTTACAAGTCTTTAGCACCATCATGTCGTGATTTATTTACAGAAAAACGATTTACGACGTCACATGACCTCAGATGACCTCTGCCGGTGCCCCTGTCAATTGGCGGCGCCAGGATCATCACCGATGAGATAATATTCCATAATACTGAAAGAATTGGGTGGTTTTGACTCGTTTACACGAAGCAGGAGGCGTTTCAATATTTTCCCATAGGCTTGCAATGTAAAGGTCACGAGTCTGGCCTGACCTCAGGTCACAGACATGAAAATTCTGAGATATACAAATTGCACATACTGGTACCCTAACTAAAGCCTGAAGAGAAGAAATTGATCGGTCAAAAACTCTAGCTCTGGCGTGATTGCAAACTTTTCTGAGGTAGGGTCACCAAACCGCCTCTGGTGACCTGACCTGAGGTCAGATCAACTCAAAATTTTAAGAATGTTGCGTAAAAGCCTTTTAGTAAAAGTCATAAAATTTGAGCTTCCTAGCTCAAAGCTTTTGGGAGAAATAACCAAAAAACCTCAGGGGGGCTCCTGAGGCCCCCCCCCCCCGCCAGGAATAGGGTTAAAAGCTAGGAGGTTCAAACTTGCGCACCATGTGTAAAATTGATGAGAGAATAGTTGTATCAAATTTCGCGGCGCTACGCGCCGCGGTTTCCCCACTATTTGCGAAAAACCTCAGAGGGGCGGATATTCGCCCCCCGTCGGTGCGCGGGTTTACGGAACTCCACAGAGGACGTCTGCGGTCTGCTACAGCAAACCCAAATGTGTAACTGTATAGCATCAGTTTGGCAAGTTTGGCACTATCTACCTATTCTTTGTCTTTTGGCAATCACAGCAACTTCCTGTTAGAAGGTTTTCAACCTCTGAACGAAGCGATCGAGGCGATGTCAAGATGACAAAAGGATTAAGGACTTTTTAGCTAGTTTTGGTGCATGCACTCTTGTTCGTTGGACGCTCATTATAATTTGTCTTTGACTTATTGCTCTCATCAGAAATAAAAAGAAAACATCTTATCACCGACTTTGGTTGCTTTGTTCCTTGCAACATTTACAAACGTGCTTCCACCTCGCGATTGAGCCAAGACCCTTTCGGATTGATCCGGGGGCCTTTCACGCGTGTTAGCCCGCGCCCTGGTGGGGTCTGTTTATAACGCGACCTGGTGGGGGGGGGGGCTATTTTCCCCCCCCCTCGTATCTCCGAAACTACTGGACGGATCCGCAAAATTCAAACGGCGTTCGAAAGGCCTGTCAAATTTGTCGAAGGAAACCAAATTTCATTGACCTCGGGGTCACCGATGACGTCACAGGTCAGGTCAAAGATGAAATGTTTCACCGTTCACGGGTCTTCTAGGGAATGCGCTATAACACCGAGGAAAACGCATTTTGTCGAGAATCAGCGGTAGGGCGTCAGTTGCCTAGTAGATATGTTGCTATTAGAGGTCACTAGCAATACCAGGTCAGGTCACAGGTCAGGTCACCAAGGGTCACAGGTCAGGTCACATGAGCCCAACTTTACTAAGGTTGTGTGATACATGTTTTATGGCCAATTTTTCATTTCCAACTCAATGGTGTTGGTTATAAGACTATCAGGTACGGCTTAGGTCACTTTCTGGTGAAGTTTAGGTCAAGGTCAGGTCAAGGTCAGGCCAAAAAAGGTCAAATTTTAAAGTTGATATTTTTGCATAAATTGGGTATTGATTCGATGCAGCTCGTCACGGGGAGTCTAATGGTGGTCTTTGTTTTGCGCTATGGGGTCTAGAATTGCTAAAAATTGAGTTTGAAAATTTGACGTCATCAATTTTGAACAGTTTTTTCGCTATAACTTCGCCAAAAAAGGAGGTATCAATCTCAAATTTGGTATGTGGATGGAAGGCGGTAAGGACTATCACATATATTCCGGTTTTTGCGAAATTCAAAAAACTTTTTGGATTTTTCGATTAGTATATCCAAAAAATCTATTTTTTGATTTTTGGGGGTCAAAATCCAAAAATTTCAAAAATCCGAGATAGCAGTTTTGTAGCCCTGTCCAATCTACAGCTTTTATGTCCTTATCATTTTTCTGTATTTGCAAAGCTATAGGCCTGACAGCTCTTCCCGCGAAACCCTTTTTTGGGTCGAAAACGGCAGAACATGACGTCACTCTGACGTCATTTCCGGCCAACCTATCATAGCCTTTGGAAAAAATTTTTGGTCACAATGTGTAAAATTGATGTCCGGGAGGGTACTGAAAGTTTGGTGACGATCGGCGCAGCGGTTCTGGAGATATATCGAAAAGTCTGGAGGGGGGGCAAAAAATAGCCCCCCCCCCCACCAGGGCGCGGGTTAGAGGGACGTCTGACCCACAATACCATGCGGAAACACCCAGTCGGAAAAATAAAGGCGATGCTGAGCGAGGGGATGCTAGGGTGGTCGTGAAAAGGAGGTCTTGTGAATCTTGATTTTGGTACGAGCTTTTGTGGATATGAATATAGTTAGTGAAACTTCATGCCATTTAATGTGTCTTTTTCTATTTAATCAGTGCAATCCGCCCAGTCCATGAGGGGATACTTTAAACGGAACGATTTTGGCATCCCCGACTTGGCACGTGGCACATGCCGTGCTGGTCAGTGGTCACCCATATGCACCAAAAAGTAGTTGAGCTCATGATTCAAGAAATAGATCTGCATGAACCAGAATACCGTTTGTCAATCCCTCCAGCGGTTGCCGATATGAGGCTGCGAAAAGCGTCACGGGGCCGGATCGTGTGGGGTCGAGCCGGGCCGCTCGAACTGAGATTTTTCCGGGTAAACCGCAAATCAATTCTGAATTCACTCGCTTGCTATAGTTGATTATCGTCAGAATACATCAGTACGATTCTGTTCGGCATTAGGGAATCGAAATACTCAAACACAAAACACAGATTATCATTTTGTTAAAGCAACAGCATGAGCATGTATTAAGTATGCCTACATCGGGTTTGGAGTGGCGCATATTGTAACCATATACATGCGCCACGTAGTACGCATCGCAATGATGAGCACCTTTCGTATTTCCTTAAAAATATCAAACTGCACGTATCTACAACTTCTGCGTGACTTTGACCTTCTCGTACGTTATATATTTAAAATACCGACATTCCAGGTACCACAATGGATCACGTATCCCGGTCTAGTATCTCTTCCGTGCAGATTCCGGTGCAATGGCTGCGTATCATGCAGAGTCGCCCCTCACGTATTGCACCACAATTCGGCGTCTGGTCGCGTGCATACGCTGTCGCGGGTTGGGATGTTCCCTTTCATCATTTCCGTAGTCTGGGTGCATGTGTGTTGTGTGATAGTGTTGCGCGGCACGTCTGTTGCGGCGGTCTAAAATCACGAATGAGTTTTATTCTTCCGGGGGCGTTTAATGTTGTGCCGACTACCGGTTGCAATGTGCAATGTAACACCACGTACACCTGAAACGTAGTGAGTGGTATGTCACGCTCCTTATAGTCAAGGGGGTAGGGGTGGGGGTTGTATGTGTGGACGAGACTAGACGGACGGGAGGAAGTCGTATGGTCACAGTACGGCTCTGGCAGGCGGCCCGACAGCATCTCACCTTTGGTAAGTCCTCGGGTCGTGAAAGTGAGAGTCGCTTACCGAGCCCAGTCGAATGTGTTCCCCCAATTTCATAAGTTATCTGCTCGATTGAGTTCAGTTACCGAATAGTAAGTGCCAGTTATGTCAAGATATAAAGTAAAAGGACCGAGAGGTGCGACGGCTTTCTTAGGTGCGGTGTGCTGACCAGCGTATCGTACCAAATCATTGCAATCATGCGAGCATCTATCACGTTTATGATTATTTGTCAGATAGTAATTACAAATCTCCTGCCTTGAAATCAAACGAAGAGCAAGCAGCTAGCTTTGCGTATTTAACACAAGTTATTAAAAATAATATGAAACGAAAAATAATAAAAGTTAATGTATTACTTTCAGGAATGAGAAACACAAAAATGAATGCCAAAGTGAACCTTAAATAATTTTACAGTGTCTGTGCGCCATGCTGACCGTCTGTGTGCCTATTGCAGTGTCTGTGCGCCCTGCTGACGGTCTGTGTCCTTTTTACAGTGTCTGTGCGCCCTGCTGACCGTCTCCCTTCTCGTCATGCTGGCGCTGGGTGTGGCCCTCGGGGTGCTCCTGCTCACCTCGGTGTACGCCAAACCGCAACAACGCGCCATTCCGGTGAGAGTGGGCATTTCTTTCACGGATTACATAATCCAGACGAAGATAATAAAATATTCGTAGGCAGTTAATTGTTATTTAGTGGTCGATTTTTGCCGATGCTAACGGCGTCTGATTATTGAAATTCGCACTTAGGATAGGGTTGGATTGAAATTCGTTATACCTTTAACAGTTTAATTCGGTTGTGGTCCCTTTTTATTCATAATAATAAAAATGTCCGGTACTAACCCTGGGTCACATGCTCCCATTGTCGATATCACTACTCACTTGGTGGTGGTCCTTCCCAGTCTGTCTCAACCGTAAGCATGTGCCCCACTCGGTTATGGGTCTGGGACTCCACCTAACCATGTCATCTTTGTGTCAGAGGTGTCGCATGTGTGACCTTTTCAGGCCACTGGAAGGGAGCCTGCTCAAAACGTCTCACAGATAGCACCCCAGAACGGGACAATGAGTGAAAATCCGTCAATCAGCCCGAATGCGACCACGAGCTCCAGCTTTATGACATCTAACTTCACGGCTCCGAACATCACGCAACCGAGTCCAACAGTATCGAATGCTACCTCATCGAACTCTCCGGTGCCAAGCGCTGCTCCGGCCAACTTGACGGCAGCAGACAACACGCAACCCAACTCAACGGCGACGAGCGTTACGACGACTGACTTGGCGACTTCGAATTCTACGGCGTTGAACTCCACGGCTTCAGACTCAACTGCATCGAACTCAACCAGAAGTCCTGGGAGGGTGAGAGGCGCTGGTGGATCATCAGATACCTGGCCGCAACTCATCTCCCACCCAACCACCGAGCCATCTCCTGTTGCACCTCAACCCAATCTTACATCCGCGGCAGTAAAATCAACCGAAACACCCATCAAACTGTTACCTTCTGTCAAGACCGTGCTGCCCCCAGCAGAATCACCTAAGCATGTTCTCACTCTGGCGTCTCCCTCCACTACGCCCGCTCCCTCGCATGTCAATTCTAGCTCTACTGTTTCGCCTCCAGCTGCTAACGCGTCTAACCGGTCCTCGCCTTTCACGCCGGACCCCAGCACTACCACTGTCGCGCCATCGACAACAAAGTCTCCCGACAAACCGAAGGGGAGTGTGCTCTCTCGAATCTGGTCTTCTATCGCCGGCTGGTTTTCGTCTCTGGGCTCATCTATACGCAGCGCCTTCGCTCCCGCTCAGAAAGCTCAGAAATCTAAGCCGCACGCTGGCGGCACTGGTGACAATGCCGGTTCGGTAACTGGAGCGGTGCTCCCAGAGACCAAGAACGGAACCGGTGTCCGGGTAGCAGCGGACGCTCGTAATGCTTCTCACGCGTCACTCGCAATAAACGGTAACGATTGAGCTCCCTGGCAACAGGAAAGTGGGTGTGTGGGGTTAAAGGGCTGGTGCGTGGAGCAAAAGGTCTAATAGACGCGCCTCAATAGCGGGGTGGCCGACCATTTTCACAAGCTTTGAAAAGCGGACCTAACAAGGCTCAAAGATGCATCCTTTCAACCTGGCTTTTAATCTAACAAAGCTTAATTGCTGTCGAATTATGTCAGGCACCTGTGCGTTTTAAGTCTGATCACTTTTAAGTTTAGCTGCCAAAGTAGTTCATCCTTGAAAGCTTCCGCTGTTCAAAGCGCCCTTCTGCCAGAGTACTTCTAAACAATCAAGCATTGTTTTCACCGAAAGGCGGAATTTCAATTGCACAATTTAACCCGGCACCGCCTGGACCTGGACTATTTTTGTGATCTGTCCCCACGACCACCTGGGGAAGGGTCGGAGCCGACCCCCCGCTGTCTTGAGAACCAATCGTCGCATCGAGCTCCGCGAGGCGGCGTTTGAAACCTCTCCACGAGACCTCAAACCGTTCACTGCCAGTTCTATGAAAAAAAAAATATTAAACCCAGAGTGCACTTTTGATCAAAGCTGAAGATTCGAAACAACATGAGAATAAGACCACCAAATGCTGCATGCCGCTTTTCTTACACTTTCGGTTCTATCCTTTAACTTTATGCTACCATGCATGGTATTGAAATATAATGCTATTCTATTTCACTTCCCATTCTGTCTTGACTACCTTTTTGCTGCTGCATTGTTGACATTAATCTCACCCCCCTGACTGCTTTACCACCTGTGTGTGTGTGTGTGTGGTGTGGTGTGTGTGTGTGTGTGTGTGTGTGTGTGTGTGTGTGTGTGTGTGTGTGTGTGTGTGTGTGTGTGTGTGTGTGTGTGTGTGTGTGTGTGTGTGTGTGTGTGTGTGTGTGTGTGTGTGTGTGTGTGTGTGTGTGTGTGTGTGTGTGTGTGTGTGTGTGTGTGTGTGTGTGTGTGTGTGTGTGTGTGTGTGTGTGTGTGTGTGTCCTTTGGCGCTGTCGCCATGTGTGTGACGGGAATTCACTCAGTGGGGTTCTTGCGATGAACAATCGCAAATATCAAAAATACCTAAAGCATTCGATGCTGCCACATTGTATGATTTTGGAAATGCTACATGATTTACGATTCGTTCCTTGTTTATCTGCTGGGGTTTACGGGCAGTCAAACCGAAACACGATGTCATTATGCGCTTATGCGAACTGTAGGTACGTGCCTTTTGGGCATAGCAGTCAGCTCAGCACTGTTACAGATACATTCAGTAACTATTTGATTTGACACTACCCTAGGGGAAGGTGGGGTAAGACGGCCCAGCGGGGCAAGACGGACCACCAGCCCTCCCGGCTGAACCGCTGCTGGTATCTACTGCTTTATGCACTCACTATGTTTGTTTTCCTTCGTAACAATGGCCACCTTGAGCTGATGCTGCTAGGATGCATAGCTTTTGAGTTATTGAGAAAAATGTTGTTTTTCGTCAAACCGATCTAATATAAGAGGTCTACGGGTGATTCAATTACGGCGCCTTTCTTGCATGATTAGCTTCTATTTTGCACTTTACTGTGAAGAACAAAGTTATAAACTTGGTTATAGTCACACTTTAGGAAAGGCAAGGTTTTGCAATGTTGGGCTATTTGACATATACGTCATGATAATGACAGAATTTAGATTTGGGGCAAGACGGACCACTGTGGTCCATCTTACCCTGTGGTGGTCCATTGTACCCTGCATTGGAAAGTTCTTTTCCAAAACATTGACACAAGTTTGAGTAAGCTAATTTTTAATGAAGGAGTCTTTGTTGCATGTGAGCCATGCATGCAAGTGCTCAGTTAGCATGCATTCATGCCAAACGACAATCAACACACATGTTCCCAGCTTTTAGCTGCACTTCCATCACACATGAATAAAGAATAAAGGCTCATTTTGTTATTTTACCATTCTGGTTACTTTTTCTTACAAGAGTACAGAGCAGAAGTGTAACACACATGAACGGATAGCAGGCACTGCTGGGTGGTCCATCTTACCCCACGTTTTTTCTTGTCTGAGTTTTTGACATGTCCCTCTTTAAGAGCATCCACCACCTAGATGTCTTTAATTTGAAATTTAGTCTTTACACATATCAATAGAGGAAGGATTCAGCATTCCGAAGACTATAAATAATATGAATTACGAGAGCAGTGTAGCAAGATATGCGGCCTCAAACCTTAGCTGGTCCGTCTTACCCCACCTTCCCCTGTGTGTCTGCAGCTTCGGATGCCGGACTCGGTTCGCTTTGACAACATTACCGTCGAACGGGAAGGGCAGGCCCGAGTCCGAGCGTTCCAGGTAAGTGCGGTCGTTACCGGCACCTATGTTGTCTAACGGTCGTTACCATCTCTTATAATATATTATAAGATCTCTATGGTCGCTACCGGGACCGGCTTCATCTCGTAAGCATTGTAGTACGAGCTATCTTACCTATCGTAAGCATTGTAATCCGACCTATCTTACTTATCTCATTATAAGATAGGTTTTGTATCTCTGAGATAATCATATGAAAAGACGGACCAATCATTCGTCTTATGTAAATAGAATCTTCATTTAAATCGGAGCATTATTTAGGGATTATTCCCAGAATGTCACCTGCATTTACTAAAAAACAAAACTATTTCCAATCAAATTGTTTTGATTGAAGTTTACCCTGTCCGTTATGAATGTTAAACCTATGAATAATTTGGTGATAATGAGAGAATGCGTCTTTAAAATTTTCAGCACGCTGAGATCTAGCCATTGTATTTTGTGTATCCAGACCTGACGTGCCTCCCTCCCCGTGCCCCCAGGAGACGAGCCGCGCCGGCCAGGGAATGCGGAGTGTGGTCCGAGTGGGACCAGACGGTCCGCCGCGGACCACGATGGAGACCATAGCGGGCCGCCCGGCGCTGCCGATGCCGACCGTGTTCGGTCCTCCTCCGACCCGACCGGGACCACCCGTGGAGCCCGGACTCCCTCCCATGACGACCGCCCCCGCACCCTTCCCCACTGAACAGCGTCTCCCCCTGCCGACGATGGCTGACCTGCCTCCCCTTCCCACCGCTCCCGGCCTGGTGCGTTTTGTCCCGCTGCCCGCCTTTTCGGCGGGGGGGCCTCCCGAGCACAGAGAGTTCTTCGCTAGTATCCAGAGGAATATCGACGAGACCGAGCGGCGGATAAGGGAATGGCAGGCTAACTTCTAGAACTATCTGCGAACAAACGCTCTCCTCGTCTTCATTGGAATATCAGTGCTTACTGCTCCGCGGCAAATGGGTGTTCAGTGCTTTTGTACATATAGTGTTCTGCAACTCGTCGGTATATTATAGCTATTTATTTGGGCTGAACTTCGGAACTATGTGTATGGTACTTTCAAACAGAGCATTAGCCATAAGGCGATCATATTAGTGTTAGGCAAAGATATTTATTTAAGGCATGCGCTTTATATATTCAAGTGGAATATTCAGGCCAAAAACTGTTTGGTATGGTATTGACATTATCGGAAGTTTTCAATTGTAGCTGATGTTTGAGGACGTGTTTCTAAGCGATCAGCGAAGAACGCATGAGTTCATGCACAGTGCACACTGCTGCTATGTTTCAAAATTAGTTGCTTTTTTATCATACATAAAACATAATTTTCCTTTGCATTGCCCGTTCATTTACAAAGATGGGCGAAACGTCTAAATACATATACCTAAGCGTTACAGCCGAATGTCATTTTACGGAATATATTCACTTTATGGCAGAAGAGAAGTATTTTTGAAGCATTATATAAAGGGTTAGTTTGGTATGGTATTGCTTTCCGTCAAAACTGCTTTTAAGTAGTCCCCCCCACCCCCACAAACACACACCGAAGCCTCCCAAAACTCTTTCTGATCGGCTAATTAAGTTTGTTCAGATAATTGGTAGTCTGTGGTGAACTGAAAGCGGCTGACTATTCTTCAGAACACGTTTGCTCCATATGGGGCTATTTTGTAGAGCAAATTGACTTAGCTGCGACTTGCGAGCATTTATTCTGAGAAAGCTGTATGCTACCGATAAAAGCAGCTTGTTTGTTTTTCCCCAACAACCACGTCGCATTTTTCTATTCAATGGGGTGTCTTCAGCCCATCTGCTGTGCGACTTCTTATGCTTGAGTTCGGAAAAACATGCCCTTTTGCGTTTCCGCGCGATGCATTTTTGTGTGTGTGCAAAATATCGCTTTGTTCGAGCTTCAGCCCGCTTCTCAAATTGTCCCTCTGTGACCAACTGACCCTCAGAAGATCCCGACTCAAGGTGAAGAAGAGAAAAAATTGTCTGAAGCTGCTTATTTTCATGCATCACCAATCAGCATAGTGCTGAAAAATGCGTTCCCGGTCCACCCATGGACAGTCATAGACAAGTCGAGCTTGTATCGCAATATTCACTCGTAAGTCGTAATAAACGCGCGTTCCAAAATAATATGAGAGCATGGCCGAAACTCGTCATCACCCTGGATGATAGCGTCGTTCAAAATTGAAATTCAACACATAAAATACTAATAAATATCAGAAGCCGTCATAAGTATTACAATCATTTTCTTCGCGTGTCGAGTCTAAAGAAGTTTTCCTTCGAGTCTCTTCGAGTCGAGCCCTTCGGTAATACAAAGGGCAAACCGTCTATCAAATATCTCACGACTATGACACCGACCTACCAGCCATGAACAACTTCCCAAGGCTTCGCAGCAAAACTGGTTAATACCGGATATCTCCTCCATTCGCAGTGAAGGAAGCGATGGTATACCTACCGAAGGGCAGCCCTGGGGCTACTGCCTGCTTCCTTGTGGCCTCTCTATGCCTAAAGCCGGTGGCTGCTGTTTCTAGTCCAACGATGCCGTCTTCCGGCTGAACTTGGCATAATGTACTGAATCGCAATTCAAAATACGAACATTCACATCCGCCGTGAACTAGCTAGACTTTCCGCCGCGCCCAAGGCGAATACGTGCTATGAGTATGCCGGCTGACGTGCCTCCCTTCTAACACCACAAACTCACTGGATACAGGATGTATTCGCAAAACTGCGGTCACGGCGCTGATTATGAGTACAAAAATTAAGTACCTCTTTGTATGGCACAGCATATGGATACAAAACAATACTGATTGTGCATGGAACGAGTCAGCGCAGTCACCAAGTCATAGTAGACGCAGTTCGGTGCGCCGCGCCAATGTGCCAGCAAGCATAACAGAGTCCGTATGTGACCAATCAGCGTCCGAGATAGTCTCAGACTTTTGTGGAGAGAGTCGGCACTGAGATCGCCGGTGGTCGCAACATCCGTATTTTCTCCCGGGAATGTCACCAAATCATAGCGCCGCTTGTGGAAGGCAACAGCATAGCACAGCAAAAACATAATACAGCGCATGTCCGGCCTCGCCGCTGTGACGATTTGCTTGTGGACGAAGCAGAGCAGAGAGACTTTCCAGGACGCACAGTGGACGAAGAAGAAGCGAAGCACGCGGATAAGGCAAAAGCTCTGTTCATACAGGGACCTGGGACATGATACATGATCGACAACGCAATAAAACGCGAACGAGTCACGAGGTCCCAACTCTCCCGTATACGCCTGACAAAATCGGAACGCTTCAACATAATCAGTCTCCATTATTGTGCATTATAAGCCTGTCTTGCATGTCACAACTCCGGCACAGCGATCAGCCAATCGCGTGCGCGATCTAGTATGACGTCACACGCAATTTGGCTCGGCGGAGATCAGACCGACCAATCATCGACTAGATAAACAAAACACAGCAAAATATGAAAGCGGCTTCCATGATCGCTAAGCACTATTTGTAAAATCACCGCGGCGCAAATCAGGGCAGTTCATTTGGCCCACACTTCGCCACATTATGCATCATTACCAAACGCTAAGACGAACACAGGCTCAGTTCTCTGCTGACAAACTAAGCCGGCAGACCGCGGCACAACGATAAGACTAGGCGCACCGACACACATCAATGAGAATGGACCCATCAGGTTCGCACACTGGGGTCGGAAGGCAGCACTTATTGCTCTGTACGGGTGCCCGCGTGTGAGCGCGATTGTCTCGTGCAATGAGTGAGCGCAAAGAGCGCGGTGGCAGATCCAGGCACCGACGGAGGGAGAGGGATGTGAAGGGCGGCCACAGACGGAATGTCACTGAAGGACACGGTCAGTCGGAGAGCCGCCGGTGGATTTGGAACGGAAGCAGTGTGCCATCGCAGGGCCGCTGGCCGGCGCACAGCCCGGCTGGCACAACACAACCAGGCCGAGCTGAAAGCTCTGGAGGAAGCTCTGTCTCAGACGTCTCTCAGACAGCGAAGCGGTAACAGCGCGGCACCGCGGCACTCCTCAAGGCACGGCAGTCGACGGCACGGCGCGACGGCGTCCATCACAAACAGACCAACGAGCGTGTCAACGTGTCAACCCTCCAGCACTTCCACAGGTCAACGAGGCACACCATCAACAAGGTCACCTAGCGCCCGCCCCGGCAGTTTTCCACTGAATCTTCCCCATAACTACTCACTACGTACCAGTTTTTCTCTGTCATTACATGTCCTGAAAGCACTGGCCGTCACATTTCGACCAACATTGTCACAGCGTTACGGGAAGGCGAAACTCGCGCCGACGCTCACAAGCCCGCGGGCATCCCGCTCGGGCGACGCGACGATCTCGAGAAACGCGCTGGGCAGGCGCTCAGGGATGCCCTTTCGACGCCCAAGGACGCCCACCAGAGTCCTGCATACTGTTTGAACGTTTGATCGAACAACTTTGGGGCACGACTAAAACAGGGCCGCTAAAGTGTAAGCACGTAAGCGGGCAAACGCTCACAACAGGTCACTCACACATCAGCATATTATGCGCAGCAAATATGTCATTTACGTCTCTCATCACAAGGACTAGTGGTCAAGTTTCCGATCGACATTTGAACACAATGTAAGCTTTCCAAGAGTACGAAACTGTTGGATGCAAAGCCCACAACCACATACTGCTGATCCCACAAAGGATTTCAACACCCCAACGAACCCTCGTCCCGCGAAACCCGGCAGGTACTTGAATGTCATTTCGCATCCTCCGACAGCCTATCGGCACTGCCGACGACCACACAGGACCCAGAGATCCACCAGATCCGTGCCACTCACCAGATCGGAGATCTGCGCGATCGAAGATCGATCCTTGAGGGTCACAACCGCCCGGAGTTTGAGTTCGAGCTGAGTCGGCTCCAACTGTGGCGCCCGGTGCTGAGGATTTGGTGTCGCCTCTTATCCGGCTGACCGCCGGATGTTATACGTTGTTATCCGTCTTGATCGCGTGAAACCAGTTGTTGATGGAAGCGAAGGTGGACTTCTTCTGGGCCTCGGTGAACTTCTCCTGGAAGAACTTGAGCGCCTCCGACTCGGGCAAGTCCGGTCGCTGGAACACGGGCCCAGCGTCGATATCGATATTTTATGTATGCTTTACTATAGTTAGATCAGAATTCAGAAAAACTTCAGAGACTATCCCCACCTCAATCCATCCATTCAGCTGGTCTCAGCCTCATTCCCTCCGCCTTTCTCCAGACTTCCGACTGCTCCTGTCCCTTCCTCGATCTCACTCTATCTCAATCTCTACACTTTTCTTCCTTTCCTTCTCAGCTCTTGAGCTCCCCATCCTCTATCCCTTCTCCCTCCTCCATCCCTACCTTCCCAGTCCCTCCAACGCTCTATCCCTTTCCATCCCTCCCTCCCTTGCTCCTTGATCCCTCCCTTCTTCCGCACCCCTCCCTTCTTCCGTACCAGAGTGGAGTGCAGGAAGCGCAGGTCCTCCTCCTCTGACACGTCCGGCAGGCCGGTGGACACCATCATACCGAACAGCGAGATGATAAAGTCGCTGTGGCTCCGCAGAATCATGTACGCCTGGAATGACCGGTGCGGGAGTCAGAGTCAGAGCCAGAGTCAGAGTCAGAGTCAGAGTCAGACAGGCGACACCTGGGGTAACGGACTGAGCGATAGCTTTATATACTCAGGGAATGGCTTTCTACTCAATCCACTCTGTTCTACTGAGGAGACAAACGGAGGCTAGATAAAAATATTAACGATTTGTGTAATTACGGAGCGAGCGAAGCGAGCGGAGTCTTACGTAGAATAACGGAAATTTCTGAGTATGAGCGGCCGGCCGGCCGGCCGTGCGGACGCTTTTGCGAGGCTTATATCTCAGCAACCACTTGACCGATTTACATGCGGTAATTTTTGTAGGGTAGCTTCATTCCTTCTACCAAGTATTGGACTATTCCCGATGCATGTGGGTGACCCCTTATGCACGTGCCACGTGCAAAACGAAGAGGTGTCAGTTTTGTAATTGTTGCAATATCTCGGTAACTACTTGGCCGATTGCGCTGAAAGTTGGCATGTAGGTAGGCACCAACTAGGCACTGCATATCCATGTGCCAGAGTTGGGGTGCCGCTGCACGTGCGCACGTGCAGGGGTCGTTTCCAGATCTCGAGAACGGCTCGACCGATTGCGCTCAAATTTGGTACACAGTTAGGGACCGGTTACTAGGGTGCCGTGCACAAGTCAGTTGGGACCCATTTTGCACGTGCGCACGTGCAGGGTGCCGCTTCCAGATCTCGAGAACGGCTGGGCCGATTGTGCCCAAATTTGGCACATCGCTAGAGACCAGTCAGTAGGGTGCCGTGCACAAGTCAGTTGGAGGTACCCCCTCGAAATTTCGCACGTGCAAGACTCACCCCCTCGCTCGCTCCGTTAGTCGCCCCAAAAGGCGCTATACTGGTAAGTATTATTTGGGTGATCGTTTCCCTTTTAGTTACATTTGCTGGCAATCTTACAGCATACAAGCTTGATCGGTTGGGTAGTCTAATCAATACGGCATGAGAGCCCTTCGATTCGACAAAGTGCAGCACAATATGATTGCAGCAAAGGTTAGAAGCGATTTGACAAAGGTCACAACTGCAACGACATAATCCTACTCGAATGCCACGCAAGCAGTCTGACAAGGGAAAACACAAAGAGCACTAGGATAAAAAGCAACTGAGCGGATATTGCAAACGCGGCTATCAGCTAATGACTGGCACAACCTCGCTATTCGCTAATAACTCAGGAACAACTGTAGATAATTTGCTATGGGAAATACACAGCTTCTAATTTAAAGTAACAAAAAGCATCGGTTCAAGCGTCAACCTTTCAACAATTCAATCAATATCTGATGCAATACGTCAGCGTCGGGCTGTATTCTGACCGTCCCTCCTTTACCCCTCCGTTCCCAGATATCCCCGTCCCGCCTCGTCCCTCGAGCGAGCCAGAATCCGTGCGTACCCTCTCACAGTTCTGCCGAAACTCCTCGAAAGCCTCGGCCACCTTGTTGCACTCAGTGATGACGTGCACAAAGTCCGAGGTGAGAACGAACGGCACACGCTCGCGCCGGAAACCCAGCTTCGACTTGAAGTGGCCCAAGATGTGGCCGAAGTCGATGTGCAGCATCTGAGGAAACACATTTGTCACAGTGAGTGTTCGTATATTGTTGTAAATGCAGCAGACTTCTTAGAGGTACGATATTCCGTAATAACACCATCCTATCGCCTTTAAAAATCAAACAATCCATCAGATGCGATGTTGAGTGTGCCTATATCACCAAACGGTTTACGCGGTTACCACAGAAGCCCGTGAATATGGAAATAATGGCCGCAACAATCCATTTAGTTAACTAGGTACCAAACTGAGTATTCATTCTTGGCAAACTATTGCGTCTAAGCCGGATGCATTCTACGAAAGCCGTTTAAATCCTCCGCTGTTCGTGACGCCAAAGTTTTTTTATCCCATTCAAAATGTTGTTTATTTGAAGACCTGAATATTTTTTCGTTCGTTAGACCTGAATATGCAGACAGGTATTCAACTCAAAGTTTTTGATGCAAAGTAAAAATAAACAAAAAGAAAACTGTCTGAAGGAAGCGGCCCTGCTACCGAGTGCCCTTAACCCTCGCACGACCAGGCCATTTCTCATAACACGAACGACCAGGGGGGGGGGGGGTTGTTACGACCCCCCCCCCTGGCGTTTCGAAACGGAAGGTCGTAGAGCTTAGCGGAAAAACCAACGGATTGCTCTCCACGAGATCTCGCGATTGGTGGTATATTTTTTGGTCCTAGGTCAACATTTGACCTACTTATGACCGGTCAAAGGTCAAATTTTCCGAAAAAATCAAACTTTTTCAACTTTCTGCGGCGATTGCGGCAAAACGGTGGGAGATATCGACTTGAAACCTTCACTATCGTGTTCCTTGATCAATTCTCTATCGTTTGGTATGTATTTCGTTTCCCTAGCTCTAAAAATGGCGCGTTGGGAACGCCGGAAGTCGGCAAGGTCACAGTCGGCGGCAGAAATTCGAAAAATCAAAATTTAAATTTTTGAAATCTGATTGTATTTTTGGATTTGGGAGGTCCATTTGCTCCCTATAGAAGCTAATATTGCTGCATATTCCCATTGAGGTGACAAGAATTAGCAAAATAGTGGTTCGGGCGCTTTTCAAAAATAGTACCGGACGCTGTTCCTCTTGTGACGTCATAGCTCCGTGACCTGACCTGACCCGGTCAATTTTCTTGCACCACACGATAGCCCCAACATGCATGGGAAGTTTCATCATGATCCATCAAACAATGTGGGTATCACCGGCAGAAAACCTAGGGATTCGGCGCACACGTTTGGTAACTGTCGGCCGGAGGCTGTACCTCTTATGACGTCATAACTCCGTGACCTGACATGACCCGATCAATTTTTTTCGGCAAAAGATGCGCAAAGGTTGCCCCAGAGGGTATTGAAAATTTCAGCCCGCTACGACAAGCCGTTTAGCGTGCACTTCGAAAAAACCTCAGGGGGGGGGTTGATACACCCCCCCCCCCCTAGGCGTTCTAGGGTTAAAATGTCATTGCCGAAGCAGATTTCCCATAAACGACCAAAGTCTTTAAGGTCTCAGACATGCCACGACTTCTTACGTAATGCATGCCAATAGTTGAGCTAAACTAGCACAAAGTTTGTCAGGGTACCACGAACCAAGACGTGCTCAAAACATTTTAGAATCGAGCTGCAGTGACTACCATGCGGCACCATTCATGCCATATCCACACATTTGTCCCCACCTCAAAGGCATGCATTATCCAAAACTCCTGACGTGATTCGAGTCCGTGAAGTCAAAGCCACTGTGCTCGCCTCCACATCCGGACTCCCAGGAACGCATTCTCTCGCTTTTCCACCCTTCCCTGACTTCCCATTCCACTCTGCCCGCCTTCTACCTATCGGTTTTTTCGAGCCCTCCAGAACGCTGATGAGTTGGGGTTTGGGGCGTGATGACGGGAAAGATCCTCCTTCAGGCCTGTTCTTCCCCACCTCTTGGCCCTACTCCATCCCTCTCTCCATCTGTCTGTCCCTTCTCTTCATCCTCCCCTCTCTGTCCCTCCTTTCTCCTTTGTCTCTCGATCCCCTTTTCCCTAACGGCCTTCCGGTTCTCGTTTCCATGTCCCTCCCGCCCCTTCCCTTCCCTTCTACTCCTCCGTCCGTCTCTCACCTGCCCATTTTTCTTCACCATGATGTTATCCGAGTGTCTGTCAGCGATGCCCAGCACGAACGTGATGACGCTGTAGCCGGCGCAGGACAGACTGAACTCCCTCACTGCCCGGCTCAGCCGCTCGTCGGTCGTGTTGTGCTTCCGCAGCCAGTTGTAGATGGTGTCCTTCCAGAACATGCCGCCCACCTTCTTGCGGTAGATGTTGGCCATAGTGCTGGCCTCCTGAACCAGTTCGATGACGCCCTTCTCGTGGTCGGTGGAGATGCATCCGTACGGTGTGAGCCTGGCAGGTGGAGGAAATGGTGAAAGGAGTTCAATGTGAAGCTCAGAAAGATAAGGGAATTATCAGTGCACTGTGTGCAAACTGAAACGGGAAACGTAATGTTATTGCCAGATTAACTTAAACGGTATTTTGTAATGCTCCTGCGCCAGTTGAAGGCAGGTTATGCTACTTTATCAGTCATGCTCAATGGTTAAAAGTAGTTCGATATCATCGCTATCCAAGAATCCAGGCACATATTCCAAACTGAAAAAACACCCACGCACTCATATCAGCTTCAATCACTTTCATTCAAACAGCCTATCCTTCACTAGCTACGATCACAGACACAATCTACCCTAACTAGCTAAAAAAAAAAAAAAAAAAAAAATCCACCAGCAGCCCACCTGAGGTCGAGGCCCTGGTCCTTCCACAGTTTGTCAATGATGCGAATCATCTGCAGCGTGAGCATGTCCTGGCGCAGGTCGTCCCCCGACTTGAAGATCAGGTTAACGTCGTCACCGCCCTCGTCACCGTTCCGGAAAATGAGCCGCAGTGGCGCCATCTTGCTCTCGAAATAGGTGAAATCCTCCCATCTGACGACATATGCAACACACGTTTAACTATGAATGACGCGTATCGCCGGGCGTGCGCGCACAATGCTTTGCTCGAACAATTAATGCGCAGGGTGGCGACTTGCTTTTCCAATTCATTTATTTTAACTTAACCTCAAATGCAAATTGGCTGAACCTCAAGTCAAATTTTCAGAACACATCTTTTCAAGGAATTAGGAAAAAGCACGATCACACTATGCCATAGAAAAACCTCAACAAGTTAACAGAAATATCGCGATTAAACTGAACGAACTGAGCCAAAGCCGCCGATCACTCAGCGGTGGCGGAGATATCGGCCTGCGAGGAGACGCTTACCTGATCTTGCCGCAGATGATGGTCTCATCCAGTGGGTTCATGAAGTCCATCAGGGTATGCTTGGTGGTCACCGTCTCCTTCAGGGACTCCAGGATCATGGTGCGGTCCTTGCGCGCTGTTCGGCCGTTCTTTACCTTCTGCGTGATCTCTGGCGGATGAAACGGGAAAAGGTCAGCTTCTGCGTGATTAACGACGGATTAAAGGGGTAAAGGTCACTTCCTGGGTGACTTATGATGGTTTTAACAGAGTACGGTCATCTGAGTGATTTAGGCCGACCCAGACGGGTAGCATCATAGTCTATGTAGTTTCTGACGGATTCAATAGGGAAGGTCACCAGTCGAAGGATAGAACAAGCACAATTCTAGAAAGAAAAAATACAGCTTCATTTGCACGCCCAAGTAAAGTTCAATATATACAGCTAACAGGTTTATGTTTTTAGCGTTATCTAATGACAATGACATAAGATTCGCATTGCCAGTCCTCAAATTGTGAAGATGACAGAAATTTAGCTAGCACGTTGACGCCAGCTGTTCAATCCCGTCATAATTCACTGACCCCCCCCCCCCCCCCCGCTCTCACCCCATCCTCGCCCCGCCCGCGCGGTCACCCAGCCCACCCTTCAGCGCTACCTTTGAGCGTCTTGAGCGCCTCGTGGAGCCGTGTGAGGCTGTGCATGTGGTGTGGAGCCGCCCGACAGTACGCCTCCAGTATCAGGGTGTTACGCACGTTCAGACACGGCACGCCGGTCTCAGATCTGGAGGGGGGATAGCTGGCGGTCAGCGGTAGGGAAGGAAAGGTCATACGCCGCACGCAGAGCGTACCTTAATTAACAATGAGATCACCTGACTGGGATGAAGAACGCTTTATGAGTAATCATCACTCAGATTATTAGTCAATGCGGCTGATATTGAATGCAGATAGCCCAACTGGACAAAGTCAATCGTCATGACAGTACAGAGGAAAAAGCCTACTATTACTTACTTTTGTTGGTTTGACTCCTGGCTCGTCGTCGTATAAGGATTCCGGGAGCAGGACTATTATGGATACAATAGCTGGGTTATCAGATTGCGCTGGTTGTTCAGCATGTTCAGGAGGCAGGATGGTTGGTAGCTACCGGCTGGAAAAGGTCCATCTGGAGACAGAATATAGATAAAACGCAGTTAACCAAAATTAATGCTTCAAAATGAATGAAGAAAGGAAAAGAAACATGAAAAACGAACCGATCTGATCGGCAATTCAAGTTACAACACCACTAAACCCCACTGAGATGAAAACCCTAGCTGTGCGCGTTGTGCGCAGCCCACCTGAGATGCCAGAAGAGCCAGTAGCCGATCAGTCGACTCTTGATGGCTCGCTCCAGCAGAAACTCTGCCAGCTCCGAGAACAGGTAGTTCTCGTGTTTGAGCGCCTGCACCAGCTGTAGCAAGTAGAGCTGCAGCTCTTCGTCACTGCAAAACAGCAGAGGGTGGGCTAACGCAAGCGTCGTAATAACGCTGCAAATAGCCTACGAGCTTGGGTCACGGCTCGCTGTAGTCGGAACTAAGGGCAGAGAGTCAAAATGGCTGATAATATAATTGCTTGGCACATTACCAGACATTATCGGCTACTATAGATTATGAACTCGACACCCAACCAAACATGTTTGTGCCATGAGGATTTCAGCTTGATCTGTATGTAAGGCAGTGTACGAGGCGAATTCACCTCCCAGTTTCTACCTACGAATTTCAAAAGCATCTAATGTGACTCGTTCAATCCGCCAAGCACTGTGAATTTATCCCACTGCTGTGGGACTCAGAATCAGCCTCACCTGGCCTGCTGCAGACAGCGTACGGCGAACCGGCGCACGGTCGGGTCAGCCACATTCACGTCGAGCAGCGCCAGCGACTTGTCCGGTGGAAGCGGCTGCCAGTCCTCCAGCAGTTTGGTCATCTCCGCCACCTGGCCGGAACAGAAGGTGGTCAGCTCGCGCTTATAGGGTTTCCGGTCACTCTGCGTGTGATTTTACCGCTCTGAGTCACTTTGAGTTGTCTTTTCGGGATGCGCGAGTGCGCGACAGGCTAACATGTCATTCAAATAGGCGTAACCAATTAGCCAATGTAGCCAGTCACCGTGAGGATACTGTTCGAATCGATTTATGTCCTGAAGACTAGAGAACTAACCTCCTGTCCATTTGACCAGTCGACGCACTGCAGGAGCTTGGGCAGCGCGTTTGGCCACATGTTCTTGCACGTGTTCCGCAGCGACCAGACCACCTCTTTGCTATAGTCATCCAGATCGAAGGCCCGCATGTTTTCCAGAGCCTTAGCCAGCTCTTCTTTCACTTGTTCCGTCTGTGACCGGTAGATGTCAGACGGGACAGCAGGAAACAATATGGTAGGTGATGACAAAGTATGTCAGCCGTCAGATTATCACTTGGAGGATATGGGGTCTAGAGGATGCCAAGAGGATGTCGGCTCCGAATGTGTCCTAAGAATGAAGACCAAAGAATGTCCGGGACTAGTGGTGCGGTGGCAGTCAGTTCGAATCTCCGAGAGATATATTAAATATTTCACTCTACGGTAAAGATATGCCATCATAACAGCCCTGAAACCAAATGCAAAACAGTACAGGTTACATCGACGTTCGTTACCGTAGCCCAAAACCCACGCTGTCGTAGCCCCCCCCCCCTTCCCCATGCCGCGTTCCCCAGCCTAGCTACGTTACCAGCCAACCCCTGTTCCCCGACCTACATTCGTGCGTCCAAAGTGTTTGAAGTCGCTGTCTCGGTCGGCGCCGTTTGGGGCCTGGTGCGCGTACAGCAGCATCTGTTCGGCACTCGGGTACATCACGACGCGGTTTGGCTGCTCGCAGTAGCTGTGGGAATTGGTATAGGTCAGTACGGCAGGGCAGAACAAAGGGTAGCGTTAGAGTTTATAAATCGGGCACGTTTGCGGAAGGAGTGTGGCATGGTGAAGCCACCCGTGTCCACCGCTCCCAGCCTGTGCGCCACCCCTAACCTGGGTGACGGTCCCGCCCCTCACCCATCAACACGCGCCCATTGAGCTGAGCTGGGTGACCGTCTCGCCCCTCCCCGTACTCATCAGTTGAACTGTCCCTCAGCTAGATGGCCGTCTCTCCTCCCCCCCCAGCCGCCCCGCTCGTCAACTCACCAGGAGAACTGCACGCTGAGTTGCGTGGCCGTCTCGCTATCGGGGTTGGCCACCACCGTGGAGAGCGGCTGCAGGGGCTCCCCGGCCCGCATATGCTCCGTGTATGGCCACAGGTAGAGGGTGACGGTACCCTGTCGCAGCTGACCGCGGTAGTCGTACACGGGCGCGTTCACCCAGGCCAGGTAGTTGCGGAACAACTGAAAACAGGGCAGGAGGGTGTGTTGACTACAAGCTCTCAATGAAACGTGATGAAAGCGCTACTGGGCTTCTACAAGTAGGGCATGCAACGGGCTTTAGCCAGGCTCTATCACAAACAAAAATCAAGCTCATGTATCAAATTACTGCGGAAAGCTCAGAAAATTTACAAATTTAACAGATAGCCATCCACAAGCACCACTGGATCTTACACCAACACTAATTCGATTCCTCCTCCCTAATCCCTCCTTTTTCCTTCTTCTTCTCTCCGCTCCGCAGCCTCACCTTTCCTCCCGAGTCCTGTCGCACCGACTTGAAGCCGCGCTCCTGTCTGGCCACCTCGAACACCGCCAGTGAGAGCCGGGTCATGCGGGGCAGGTCGCGCACCTCCACCTCGAACTGTTTGGTCGCGCCCACCTGCAGCTCCTGGTCCTCGTCGGGTAGAGGACCGCCGTCCAGTGGATGAGATACCCACACAGACTCACATAGCTTCTTGGCGCCGCAGAACAGCGCGATTTCCAGTCCGATCTGTCGAGCAGAGGGGGGGGGGGTCAGTGATGGGTGTGCGGCGTGCGCTGTGGTGCAGTGGGTTGGGGAGGAGTAGAAAAGGGAAAAACGAGGAGACATAGAGTGAGTGGTCTGATAATCATAATATTGAGAAAATAACGAGTGCTGCTGTGGTGCTGCAGATAGATAAATACATGTTACGAAATCAACTCGATAACAAATTGACATATCAGTCTCCCCATATCAGAAACTCGTTTCTGGCAGCGAAAATAATTCTGTGGCACCCGGACGACTGACAAACAAAGGAAAACACGTTCACAATCATACGACTGGTTCTGAAATCCTCGAACATGACGAGACAATCCCGCTTTGACCAAAGGACGTCATATCACCCAAACAGGGGAAACGCAAATGATGCTCAATTGATATTCTGCTCTCTACAAATAGCAACATTCCAAAACAGAGTCCAAAACATTTGGCTGCGGCCAGGTTGACTAGAAACTAATCGTAGAGACGCCATGTTTGTTTACATATAACACGGTGCCACGGCTGACGGCTTGTAGTCCACGCTGGCAGAGCGGATGTCCGCACACGTACATCCGTCTCGAGATAAGGCTACCCACCCGTTGAGCGACAGGATGCGGCTCGTAAGAGGAAACCGTGATAGACAAACGGTGCATGAAGTGAAGACAAACAAACGCCGTGACACGCTTTTAGGGGCATCCATTCCACATTAGACAGCGGAACGGTAGTTCAACGCGGGTCTCGGCTTTTCCAGAGGTGCTGCATTTTCCATGCAAAGCATTCGACGTAATTCCACGCTAGCATTAAGCCATCTTATCCGGTCTGTTATCCTGCCAACCACGCAGTCCGTCTCTCCGTAATTCTGCGACACCATCAGCTCTCTGTCCTCGAGTTTCGAACGCCGTCCATCCGTCCTCACCTCCGTGACGCCCTCGCCGACTTGCAGGTGCGCCAGCGAGTTGATGCCGAGACTGAAGTCCTGGTGGATGTCCCAGCTGCTGACTGGGGTGTGACGGCGCCGCTGTAGAGTGCTCGTGTTGACAGAGAGGGCGCGACACCGGCCCGGCTCGGCACCCGGGTGGGGGCCCCAGTCTGCGGGAACGGGGGAGGGAGGGGTCACACCGGGAAAAACGGCGGGTACCAATCGGGTGTGGAAAACGACGCGGTTTATGAGGAAGAGATGGGCGCTAGTGAAGACCAGATTGTAAATACGCTAAGAGCAGCCTCATGATACAATAAATGCAAAACACCACAGCGCGGTGCCACGAACATAAATGAACAGCGAACACAATGGAAACCAACACTTCTTCAAACTTCCATTATCAACTCCGAGCTGTTTTTGGCACCCACCACCATCTCTCTGTCCCCACTCTCTCCCCCTCTGTCCCTGCCGCTGCTCTTTCACCCACCTGGCAGCTCTATACTGTGATTATCCACCAGCTGCAGCCTCAGCCGCTCGCCGCGGTTCATCGCCTCCTGCACGGGCGCGTACTTCCACAGCGCCAGGTCACAGACCAGGTACTGCTGGCGACCGACCACTCGTAGCGTATACCCCTTGGGTACGTCGGGCTGCTGGAGGTGCGCAGAGTGTGCGCTGTTGCGCAGCGCCTGCTGACTGCTGCGTGCCATCTTTTTTAGGACTTTGGTGACCAGCTCGCTGGCAGTGATCGATGGTTCGACACGGAGAGTTGTGTAGCCGCCCGGCTGTAGGAGGAGGGACGGGTGTCAGCGCGGGGGTGACACGGGCGAACGGCAATGCAAGGACAGTTCATTGCTGGAAAGGTGCGGCGGCCGGCGGCTTGAGACCAGATTATCATTTAACCCTATTAGTGGCAGGCTCCTGGCTACCCCATATTAGTGGCAGGGGGGGGGGGCTGTTTACGACCCCCCCTTGATATCTCGAGATCTAACCGGCCGATTTTCAAAATTCAAATGGCATTCGATTTGGCTCAACGAGATCTACATTTCTAAAAAAAAAAAAAATGTCAATAGGGGGGTAGAGGGGGGTAAAAACGGGCAAATTGCAGATACATTTTAGACTGTTTATCACGGCCAGGTTTCTGAACCAATCTTAACGCAACTTTTGCCGATCGATTGAGAATAAACCAGGAATTCACATGGATCCTAAAAATATGCATTTTCAAAAATCATAGGCGGATACAGATCATTGAGATTGGGGGTACACAAAAAGTATAGTAAATAAGGTTTTTGTTGGTACTGTTTCTAAAAAGGGTGGCAATGGTCTTGTTATGTTACAATTTTCTTATGAGAGAACGACTAAAATTGTATTGGTCATGCATAGGCGGTGTCAGGGCACCTATGTTGGGAGGTAAAAAATAACCCCCCTTTTTGGACGCCTGGATCCGCCTATTATAGCAAAAACGTGTCAAAAGAGGATGCACAATAACTTTGTATATGTTATCACATGATACCTTTCATTCACTGTTCGTAAAACTGGTGCAGCATCGTGATCTTCGCCCAAATGACTCGCTTCACGAATAGGACCCCCAATTCCCAGTGCTCTGGAGCCGCCCCTGGTAAAGTTATGAACTTGAAATTTTCAGGGAATGTGCCCAATTTAGTTTTAGGAAAAGTCAGAAAATTTCAGCATCGTAGCTTCAGCGGTTTCGGAGATATTCCCGAAAAACCTGAGGGGTGGATAAAAACACCCCCCCCCCCCTGCCACTAATAGGGTTAAACTCACATACTTTGCCAGATAGAGATATCCTATCATTTCCACGAATGCTAGCGAGTTAGTTTTTTTTTTTTTTGAGTCAGTAGGTATGGCGGTAGATAGAAAAACACTCACAAAGTTTTCAAATATCACGAGCTCAACAGTGTCCACGCTTTAGTACCGTGCCATCCCTTCCCCACGTTCAGCTGGCCATAACTTAGTTTCAACCTTTAAAGAGGTTTCAACATACCTGTCCGTCGCGGCCCCACTGGGGTTTGACCTCCACCATGATTTGACCACTGGAGGGCAGCTGTTTTCGCAGCAATAACGGCATCTCCTGTGCCCACGCCACGGAGCACGGGTAGCTGCGGAAAGCAGAGAGCACTCGTCACCAAAGAACGAAACACACGAGCCATCAGGTGCCATCAAGTAAGTCATCTCGTCTCCAACATCCTTTAAACCGCTATATTTCTCCGTTTTAAATGCAAAAGGCAATGAACTAGTAATTAACCTTTATTCCCATATTTGTCGCGTTCTTTTCTATGTTCATCCTTTTTTTCCTTTCCCAATCAACTAACTTATATAATCGACGTCGTTGAATAAATATATTGTGCATGAATTTCATGTGTCACTGCATGTTGCCCACAGCTCCATGGTCCCTCCTCGCTCTCCGCACTATCCAGTCCGCGACAAACTGTTCTCCTGTCACTGACGGGCCACTCACCAGTACCGCACGCGCTGCTCCCACGGGAAGGCGTCTCGTTCCGCCACCACGCGTGCACACAGCTCGCGCATACTGCTGCGAAACTCGTTCACCTCCGCGCTGTTATTGTGCGCCTCGAACGCGTGCATGTCTGCGGGAGAGCGAAGGGAGGGAGGGGGAGTCAGAGGGGGCCGTAGGGCGTCAGAGCGGGTAGCGAGGGGTATCGAGGGGTGACGGGAGATCGAGAGGGTTAGAGGGGAGTGGTCAGGGGCCGGTACATGTCACAGGTGACAAACAACGCCAGACCACGCGGAGCAAACAGGGACAGGCAAGCACAGAGCGAGCTGTACGGACCAGGTGACGAGAAACAGATGGCCCAGGAAGGTGCTCGTCAAGCGCCCCCATATTGCATAACATGTTATTGACGATAGATAGCTAATCGCTGTTTAAAGGAACTCATTGGTTTCAGGCCGTACAGCCACACTTGACGATTTTGTAGCATTTACGAACGATTAGGTTTGCCGGTAAAAACAACGTTAGTTATGCTTGTATGGCAAACGTCTCCAGTGCAGTCCTGTTTACGTCCAGTCAGGCAATACAGCTGAAAACTTCCTGTCGTTGGGCACGGGTCCTGTTCAGCGCTCACGCTACAAGTACGTGACACTTGAGGACTGATTCCGACAGCGAACATTGCGAATTATTCATGCGAATATTTCCCCAGAACAACTCGCGGCTAAGCACGACATAAAGGCCTTGCGTGACATTGTGTTCGCGGTGCCTGATCCCGCCGATAATGGCGACAAAAAGTCACTCCACCTTTGCACTAATATGACGTTCGTCCGCATCGCAACTGCATCCAATAACTACCATGCCATGTGTGGATAAATAAATGCAGATGCATTTAAGGTGCAGGTTTCTTTATTCTACATGACCTAAATTGATCTAAATCAATAAAAATCATTCAAATTTCTAAGAACCATTCACGAACGCCTACTTTCACGCGGCCTACTCCTTTGCCCACCAAGCGTCCCCTCCTCATGCTGCCTCGCCCGTTCACTCACTTTTCCCGATGAGGTTGCCGATCTGTGAGAGCAGCAGCTTCTCGTGTTTGTCGCCCTCTCGCTCGATAACCCGCAGTACTCGAAACACGGGTCGCACGCTGATGAGAGGACAACTCTCGTCGAGCAGTTCCACGGCCTCCGCCTCTGGCGTGACACACTGGAAGACGTACTGGGACATGTCCCGCAGCGTGCCGTGCAGGGGAAACTCGCTCTCCCAGAGCTTCTGCAGATCGAGGGCAGGGGAGAGAGGTGTCAGTTAGGTGATCGAGCCCCGAGGTGTGTCAGTAGTCAGTGGGGGTCGAGGGGCGACAATTAGTGGTCAGTAAGGCTGCCTAAATGTGGTGGGGAGGAACAATCAGTCAAAAGTCAAAGGTGACGGGCACAGTCATTTTGGATACCTATGAAGGAAACTGCACAGGCACATTATGACAATAACTGTGGAAATCTTTGAAGAATTTCAATCATATGCCCATTTGCTGCAGCAACACAAACCTGCCCATTCGGGACAGCCCTGAACATGTCAAACAGTCTGGACAATGAACACTGAACTGTGAACTTCTCCCTGGCCAGTAGGTACCTGTTTGATGGTCTCCAGCGTGGCATCCTTGAGCACATCCAGGGGGACGACGATGCCGCTGGGCATGAGGCACTCGATGTGGATGTCAGGGTCGGGCGAGTCCCAGCCGTCTCGGCCGAACGGGTCCAGTACCGAGTCATACTCCTCCATCGGCCGGCCGTCTCCGCCCAGCGACGCGTTCAGCATCTGCGGGGCGTCACAGCGGTGTGACGAGGCAGCGTCGAATGTTGGTCAGAAATCAGCCGTCTGCTAGATATTGACAATGGTAGTGAAATGGCAGCAAAATGACAGCATGAATCATTGGAACTAGGTAGGTGGGATGAAATCATTTTGTGAAACTATGTACAAATGTAAGTCAACTTTACTTCAAAGTAAACCAGCTTTTAATTTAACACCCACAGAAATAGATATTGTTAACTTGATTTCAAGTGAGAAATAGACATTAAAACGCACATAACTACAATGCTATAATACAACAGACTAGAGCACACATGGCCCTCTCATATGTATCACTACCACAAAATCTCATGGATTTTGTTTATTAGTCTGAGATGGCTGCTTATTTGACCATAAAAAGGGCCATTACTTATTGCAAATAGCTTACATTCAGTCTCCCAAATGAGCTTTCAATGGGAGATGCTACTGAATACATTACACCAAAGAAGATAATATCTACTAGATGACAATGCCCTGTGGCCACTGGCCAGTTCTATAAACAGAGAAATCACTGGCTGCTGGTAGGTATTGCTATTTTTGAAGCTCTCTGAGTCCAGCTAGTGATGAGAGATATAACTGCTGATATTAAAGCCAAAGAAGTGACCATTGAACTGATATCATTTTCCATATCAGAGGTCAATTTTACCAGCAGAAAATCAGCCTCCTGCCAGAAGTTTTTACCTTAAGACCTCTTCACATACGGATGTTTTCTTTTGGAGCGCTGACCGCCCGCTCATCAGTTGGGGTGGGGAACTACAAGGCGCCGAACTAAAATTTGAGCAGCCAATCAACGGCTGCAGTGGGCGGAGCAATGACCAAATATGGTCATAAAATCAGAAAACTTCATCTTTTCCATGCATCTTAGCATTCAAATGAAAAAAATAGGGCATAAGGATGTTTTTTAACCAAACAAGGCCTACACCCACTCGGTGCACGATGCACTGGCGGCTCTAAATCACAGAGTTACAATACAAGGTAAAACAGTGATTGGCAAATATGGCGGAATGAAACAGACGCGCCAAAAATGTAAGCACTGTGGTTTTAAAATGTCATTATATTTATTATTTTGTTTATGGTTTTTCTATTTGTGGTTAAGTTATTATTTAAAATTAAAAATATTTGTTTATTGTAAATAAATTAAATCTTTTCACAATATTCTTTCAAAACACCAATCCATTTATTGAATGGCCAGCTGACTGTGACGCCCAGAACATGCAGAAAAGCTGTTTTCCTATCACCATTTTCAAGTGAATTTGCCGAATTTTATCAATTACAGTTAATTCCTCTAGTGGAAGATCGAAGCCTTTTCTCTCCAATAAGTGGACCCGACCCGATACCGCAAGTACCGCCACAACGCACGTTATACTGTTTCTCACCCGTACTCCGTAGTAGCGAGGGCTGCATTTATGCCCATATATGGTCATCAAAAGTATAATTATTGACCAATCAATTTTTGGATCTTCGCCTTGTAGTTTCCCCAACTGTCATGCTCAGAAATGTCTGCTATTTTATGTAAGCCTTCGCTCACTCCGCTCACTTCATAGGTAATCAGAATCATATAATGGGATGTTTATGACACTCACCATGCTGTTCAAGTTGTTCATGCTGTTGAAGCACTGGACCATGATAACACTTTAAACTCCTTTTAAAAATAGCATCACAAAGCGTCCATAACCCATGATTTCAGACAAATTTATCGTTTTAGACACGTTGACGTCGATATTATGCTTCAGTGAGTAGTGGGTATGTTGTACCAATCCAGATAAGTACATCAATCAAACTAGGAAAAACTATTCCTTGTTAGATTGGCACATTACCAAAGAAGGAAAAATCAACATTTGTTATAATAATAACCGAATTTATGCATTTGGAACACAAGCGCGCGCCTACGCCCAGGGTCGCCGGAAATGTACAAGATGCGCCGATAACAGAAATGCGTATGTTCAAGGTTACATAAAATAACACTGTCAAACGTCCATCAATTGAGCAGCAGATTGATATTCGCGAATATCAAACTAAAAATTCGATATTCGGACGGGGAACGCAATAACTCAAGAACCAGTGAACCGATTTGGATGAAAATGCCCTCATTCGATTCCTCGTTTCTTATTGCAGGTTGACAGCGATTTCCAGGTCACTAGGTCATGACCTTCAAGGTCAAGGTCAAGGTCAAAGGACGGGGAACGCTCTACAGCCTACAGTTACCGTCCGATTGGCTTGTAAATGGTCTCAATCGATTCCTCGACCCCGATTCCAGCTCGACAGCGATTTCCAGGTCATTAGGTCATGACCTTCAAGGTCAAGGTCAAGGTCAAAGGACGGGGAACGCTCTACAGCCTAAAGTTACCGTCCGATTGGCTTGTAAATGGTCTCAATCGATTCCCCGACCCCGATTCCAGCTTGACAGCGATTTCCAGGTCACTAGGTCATGACCTTCAAGGTCAAGGTCAAAGGACGGGGAACGCTCTACAGCCTAAAGTTACCGTCCGATTGGCTTGTAAATGGTCTCAATCGATTCCTTGACCCCGATTCCAGCTTGACAGCGATTTCCAGGTCACTAGGTCATGACCTTCAAGGTCAAGGTCAAGGTCAAAGGACGGGGAACGCTCTACAGCCTACAGTTACCGTCCGATTGGCTTGTAAATGGTCTCAATCGATTCCTCGACCCCGATTACAGGTTGACAGCGATTTCCAGGTCACTAGGTCATGACCTTCAAGGTCAAGGTCAAGGTCAAAGGACGGGGAACGCTCTACAGCCTACAGTTACCGTCCGATTGGCTTGTAAATGGTCTCAATCGATTCCTCGACCCCGATTCAAGCTTGACAGCGATTTCCAGGTCACTAGGTCATGACCTTCAAGGTCAAGGTCAAGGTTCTGGAATATCAAACTACGAATTCGATATTCGGACGGGGAACGCAATAACTCAAGAACCAGTGAACCGATTTTGATGAAAATGCCCTCATTCGATTCCTCGTTCCTTATTGAAGGTCGTTTCCTCGTTCCTTGACCTTGAAGGTCATGACCTAGTGACCTGGAAATCGCTGTCAAGCTGGAATCGGGGTCGGGGAATCGATTGAGACCATTTACAAGCCAATCGGACGGTAACTTTAGGCTGTAGAGCGTTCCCCGTCCTTTGACCTTGACCTTGACCTTGAAGGTCATGACTTAGTGACCTGGAAATCGCTGTCGACCTGGAATCGGGGTCGGGGAATCGATTGAGACCATTTACAAGCCAATCGGACGGTAACTTTAGGCTGTAGAGCGTTCCCCGTCCTTTGACCTTGACCTTGACCTTGAAGGTCATGACCTTGTGACCTGGAAATCGCTGTCAAGCTGGAATCGGGGTCGAGGAATTGATTGAGACCATTTACAAGTCAATCGGACGGTAACTTAAGGCTGTAGAGCGTTCCCCGTCCTTTGACCTTGACCCTGACCTTGAAGGTCATGACTTAGTGACCTGGAAATCGCTGTCAACCTGGAATCGGGGTCGAGGAATCGATTGAGACCATTTACAAGCCAATCGGACGGTAACTTTAGGCTGTAGAGCGTTCCCCGTCCTTTGACCTTGACCTGTACCTTGAAGGTCATGACCTAGTGACCTGGAAATCGCTGTCTAGCTGGAATCGGGGTCGGGGAATCGATTGAGACCATTTACAAGCCAATCGGACGGTACCTTTAGGCTGTAGAGCGTTCCCCGTCCTTTGACCTTGACCTTGACCTTGAAGGTCATGACCTAGTGACCTGGAAATCGCTGTCAACCTGGAATCGGGGTCGAGGAATCGATTGAGACCATTTACAAGCCAATCGGACGGTAACTTTAGGCTGTAGAGCGTTCCCCGTCCTTTGACCTTGATTTTGACCTTGAAGGTCATGACCTAGTGACCTGGAAATCGCTGTCAACCTGCAATGAGGAACGAGGAATCGAATGAGGGTCTTTTCATCAAAATCGGTTCACTGGTTCTTGAGTTATTGCGTTCCCCGTCCGAATATCGAATTGTTAGTTTGATATTCGCGAAACTTGACCTTGACCTTGAAGGTCATGACCTAGTGACCTGGAAATCGCTGTCACCCTGGAATCGGGGTCGAGGAATCGATTGAGACCATTTACAAGGCAATCGGACGGTAACTTTAGGCTGTAGAGCGTTCCCCGTCCTTTGACCTTGACCTTGACCTTGAAGGTCATGACCTAGTGACCTGGAAATCGCTGTCATCCTGGAATCGGGGTCGAGGAATCGATTGAGACCATTTACAAGCCAATCGGACGGTAACTTTAGGCTGTAGAGCGTTCCCCGTCCTTTGACCTTGACCTTGACCTTGAAGGTCATGACCTAGTGACCTGGAAATCGCTGTCAAGCTGGAATCGGGGTCGAGGAATCGATTGAGACCATTTACAAGCCAATCGCACGGTAACTTTAGGCTGTAGAGCGTTCCCCGTCCTTTGACCTTGACCTTGACCTTTAAGGTCATGACCTAGTGACCTGGAAATCGCTGTCAACCTGAAATCGGGGTCGAGGAATCGATTGAGACCATTTACAAGCCAATCGGACGGTAACTTTACGCTGCAGAGCGTTCCCCGTCCTTTGACCTTGACCTTGACCTTGAAGGTCATGACCTAGTGACCTGGAAATCGCTGTCAACCTGGAATCGGGGTCGGGGAATCGATTGAGACCATTTACAAGCCAATCGGACTGTAACTTTAGGCTGTAGAGCGTTCCCCGTCCTTTGACCTTGACCTTGACCTTGAAGGTCATGACCTAGTGACCTGGAAATCGCTGTCAACCTGGAATCGGGGTCGAGGAATTGATTGAGACCATTTACAAGTCAATCGGACGGTAACTTAAGGCTGTAGAGCGTTTCCCGTCCTTTGACCTTGACCTTGACCTTGAAGGTCATGACCTAGTGACCTGGAAATCGCTGTCAACCTGGAATCGGGGTCGAGGAATCGATTGAGACCATTTACAAGCCAATCGGACGGTAACTTTACGCTGCAGAGCGTTCCCCGTCCTTTGACCTTGACCTTGACCTTGAAGGTCATGACCTAGTGACCTGGAAATCGCTGTCAAGCTGGAATCGGGGTCGGGGAATCGATTGAGACCATTTACAAGCCAATCGGACGGTAACTTTAGGCTGTAGAGCGTTCCCCGTCCTTTGACCTTGACCTTGACCTTGAAGGTCATGACTTAGTGACCTGAAAATCGCTGTCAACCTGGAATCGGGGTCGAGGAATCGATTGAGACCATTTACAAGCCAATCGGACGGTAACTTTAGGCTGTAGAGCGTTCCCCGTCCTTTGACCTTGACCTTGACCTTGAAGGTCATGACCTAGTGACCTGGAAATCGCTGTCAACCTGCAATGAGGAACGAGGAATCGAATGAGGGTCTTTTCATCAAAATCGGTTCACTGGTTCTTGAGTTATTGCGTTCCCCGTCCGAATATCGAATTGTTAGTTTGATATTCGCGAAACTTGACCTTGACCTTGAAGGTCATGACCTAGTGACCTGGAAATCGCTGTCACTCTGGAATCGGGGTCGAGGAATCGATTGAGACCATTTACAAGCCAATCGGACGGTAACTTTAGGCTGTAGAGCGTTCCCCGTCCTTTGACCTGGACCTTGACCTTGAAGGTCATGACCTAGTGACCTGGAAATCGCTGTCATCCTGGAATCGGGGTCGAGGAATCGATTGAGACCATTTACAAGCCAATCGGACGGTAACTTTAGGCTGTAGAGCGTTCCCCGTCCTTTGACCTTGACCTTGACCTTGAAGGTCATGACCTAGTGACCTGGAAATCGCTGTCAACCTGGAATCGGGGTCGAGGAATCGATTGAGACCATTTACAAGCCAATCGCACGGTAACTTTAGGCTGTAGAGCGTTCCCCGTCCTTTGACCTTGACCTTGACCTTTAAGGTCATGACCTAGTGACCTGGAAATCGCTGTCAACCTGGAATCGGGGTCGAGGAATCGATTGAGACCATTTACAAGCCAATCGGACGGTAACTTTACGCTGCAGAGCGTTCCCCGTCCTTTGACCTTGACCTTGACCTTGAAGGTCATGACCTAGTGACCTGGAAATCGCTGTCAACCTGGAATCGGGGTCGGAGAATCGATTGAGACCATTTACAAGCCAATCGGACTGTAACTTTAGGCTGTAGAGCGTTCCCCGTCCTTTGACCTTGACCTTGACCTTGAAGGTCATGACCTAGTGACCTGGAAATCGCTGTCAACCTGGAATCGGGGTCGGAGAATCGATTGAGACCATTTACAAGCCAATCGGACTGTAACTTTAGGCTGTAGAGCGTTCCCCGTCCTTTGACCTTGACCTTGACCTTGAAGGTCATGACCTAGTGACCTGGAAATCGCTGTCAACCTGCAATGAGGAACGAGGAATCGAATGAGGGTCTTTTCATCAAAATCGGTTCACTGGTTCTTGAGTTATTGCGTTCCCCGTCCGAATATCGAATTGTTAGTTTGATATTCGCGAAACTTGACCTTGACCTTGAAGGTCATGACCTAGTGACCTGGAAATCGCTGTCACACTGGAATCGGGGTCGAGGAATCGATTGAGACCATTTACAAGCCAATCGGACGGTAACTTTAGGCTGTAGAGCGTTCCCCGTCCTTTGACCTTGACCTTGACCTTGAAGGTCATGACCTAGTGACCTGGAAATCGCTGTCAACCTGGAATCGGGGTCGAGGAATCGATTGAGACCATTTACAAGCCAATCGCACGGTAACTTTAGGCTGTAGAGCGTTCCCCGTCCTTTGACCTTGACCTTGACCTTGAAGGTCATGACCTAGTGACCTGGAAATCGCTGTCAATGGGTAATCGGGGTCGAGGAATCGATTGAGACCATTTACAAGCCAATCGGACGGTAACTTTACGCTGTAGAGCGTTCCCCGTCCTT